GGGCGGGGGGCCCCCTCGGCCGGCTCAGTACGTCCGCACCTTCACCTCCTTCGTCTCGGTCACCACCTTCCCGTCCACCATCCTCTGGGTGGTCCTCTGGGTGGTGGAGGTGGTCTCCTTCTCCAGGGCGTCCTGCAGGCTGTGGGGCAGGGAGGGGGCGCTGAGGGTGCTGGGGGGCACCCCGGGGTGTCCCCTCCCCTGCCTGGCTCCTGTGTCCCCCCCGTCCCTTCCCAGTGTCACCCCAAGAAACCGAGAGGTGACAGAGCTGGAGCATCCTGGAGGATGGGCTGGGATGTCCCGGCACCTGGGGCACATGGCCGCTATGTGCCACCGCTGTCCCCTTGCTGTCCCCAAAGCATTGTGGCTGATGGGACCTGGGACATCCCAGCACCCTGGGCTCATCCCTGCTGGATGCCACTGCTGTCCCCTCACTGTCCCCAGAGCATCCATCCTCAAGGATAGAGTCGGGACATCCCAGCACCCAGGACTCATCCTGGCTGGATGCCACCGCTGTCCCCTGGAGCATCCTGGAGGATGGGCTGGGATGTCCCAGCACCTGGGGCACATGGCTGCTATGTGCCACTGCTGTCCCCTTGCTGTCCCCAGAGCATCCTCAAGGACAGAGCCGGGACATCCCAGCACCCAGGACTCATCCTGGCTGGATGCCACCGCTGTCCCCTCATTGTGCCCAGAGCATCCTCAAGGACAGAGCTGGGACACCCCATCACCCTGGGCTCATCTCTACTGGGTGCCACCACTGTCCCCTTGCTGTCCCCAGAGCACCCTCAAGGACAGAGCTGGGACATCCCAGCACCCGGGACTCATCCTGGCTGGATGCCACCGCTGTCCCCTCGCCATCCCAAGCCCACCCTTCAGGATGGATCCAGGCTTGAACTCCTCTCCTCCCTCCAGCAGCTGCCGGTAGGTCATGATCTCGGCTTCCAGCTTGCCCTTGACATTGAGCAGCGCCTGGTACTCCTCGGCCTGCCGCTGCAGCTCGTTGCGCACCTGCAGCAGCTCCGCCTCGACCCGCAGGATCAGGCTGTTGAAATGCTCCATCTGCATGGCGTAGCGGTTCTCCACCTCCAGCAGGTTGGCCTCCAAGCCAGCTTTCTGCAGAGCAGAAACCCCTTGGGGTTCAGCTCCACCACCGAGGGCGGCCGGGTGGCCCCCGTGGGGCTGGAGGTTGGGGGGCGGGATCTGTGGGATGGGGGGTACCTGGTTGCGGATGGACTCCAGGTCGATCTCCAGGGTCTGGACGGAGCGACGGAGTTCCACCACGGTGCTGCGGGCCGTGTCGACGTCCTTGCTGCTCTGCGTGATCTCGATGGTGCTCTCGGTGATCTGGTGGGGGACACACATGTGGTTTGGGGGGGGGGTCAGCGCCTTGGCCCCGCCCACCATGGCCATCCCAACCCGTGGAGGGGGCGTGGGGGGTGAAACCACCCCAGGAAGAGCCAACCCCAAGGACCGGGGTCCCACATGGGCTAGAGGTCCTCCAGGAATGTCCCCAATGTTGGAGCAGGAACATCTTGGAGAAGGTCCCCACTCCAGGCGTGGGTCCCCGATGGGACAGGGGTCTCCTAGGAGTGTCCCCAGTGTTGGACCAGGACCCCCTAGCAAAATGTCCCCACTGTGGGGTTGGGGTCACGCTGGGATAGGTTTCCCCCGGGGAAGATCCCCGATGTTGGACCAGGACCTCCTTGGAGAAGGTCCCCACTATGGGATCAGGGTCCCCTACGGGATAGAGGCCCCCCCAGGAAGGTCCCTGATGTTGGACCAGGACCCCCTTGGAGAAGGTCCCCATCAGGGCTTGGGGTCCCCTATGGGATAGGGCTCACCCCAAGAACGTCCCCAACGTTGGGCCAGGACCCCATCGGGTCAAGCCCCCCTCATGGGGTGCCTTTGGGGACCACCCCTATGCCAGACTGGGGACCCCCAGGGGAACACCCCCACCAGGTCGGGGTTCCCCCTTGTGTCAGGACCCCCAGTGAGCTGGGGGCTGCCCCCCCTTGGCTCGATGTCCCCCAGGGAAGACACCACCCCCATGGAGCATCACCCCAGTTGCCTGGGGACCACCGGGACCCCTCAGGGTGGAGGTTTGGGGGGGGGGAGGGCTGTGGACCCACCTGCTGCCCCCATTGCTTCTCCAGGTCCTCCAGGTTCTTCTGGGCCAGGGCGTCGTACTGTGCCCGGATCTCCGCCATGATCTTGCCCAGGTCCTGCGACTTGGGCGCGTCCACCTCCACCGTCAACACCGACTTGGAGATCTGGGACTGGAGGCTCTTCACCTCCTGGGGGACAGCAAGGGGCCGGTGTCAGCGTGGGGTCCCCACCGGCCCCGGGTCCCCTCCCCTCGGCTTCATCCCCACCTCCTCGTGGTTCTTCTTCATGAAGACGAGCTCCTCCTTGAGGGACTCGATCTCCCCCTCCAGCTGCAGCCGGGCCATGTTGGTGTCATCGATGACCTTGCGCAGCCCCACGATGTCGCTCTCCACTGAGAGGCGGATGGCCAGCTCTGCCTCGTACCTGGGGACACAGCGTTGAGCGGCTCCAACCCCGGCTACGTCCCCGTCCCTGTCCCCATCCCCGTCCCCATCCCCTTCCCATCCCTGTCCTCATCCTTGGCCCCATCCCCGGCCCCATCCCCATTCCCAACCCCACCCAATCCCATCCCAACCCCATCCCATCCCTGTCCTCGTCCCCATCCTCTCCCCCTCTATGTTCTTATCCCTGTCCTGTGCCTATCACCATCCCCATCCCTGTCCCCGTCCCCATCCCCATCCTCTGTCCCCATTCCCACTCCTGTTTCCATCCTTGTCCTTCTCCCCATCCCCATTTCCATCCCCAATCCATCCCCATCTCCATCCCCAATCCATCCCCATCCTTATCCCTGTCTCCATTCCTGTCCTTTCTCCATCCACAACTTCATCCTTGTCCCCACTCCTATTCCCATTCCCAAACCTATTCCCATTCCCATCCCCATTCCCAACTCTATTCCTATTGCCATCCTCATCTCCATCCCCATCCCCATTTCCAACCCTATTCCCATCCCCATTCCCATCCCCATTCCCATTCTCATCCCCATTCCCACCCACGCCCCTCTTCCCATCCCCATTCCCATCCCTATCTCCACCCCCATTCCCAGCTCTATTCCTATTCCCATCCGCATTCCCATTCCCATTCCCATCCCCATCCCCATTCCCAACCCTTTTCCCATCCCCATTCTCATCCCCATTCCCACCCATGCCCCCCTTCCCATCCCCATCCCCATTCCCAACTCTATTCCTGTTCCCATCCCCATTCCCATTTCCATCCCCATTCCCACCCCCTCCTTCCCATCCCCGTCCCCATCCCCATCCCCATCCCATTCCCACCTCTATTCCCATCCCCATCTCCCTTCCCTTCCCTTCCCTTCCCCTCCTCTTCTCCACCCTCTCACTCACC